AATTTAATTAATTGCAATGTGGAAGTATAGCTAAAACTCTGTCATGGATTTTTTTTTCCCGAATCAGCTGTAAGGTTAACTAATCAATTAATTTGCAAGGAAATACATTAAAACTGATAAAAATCACTCAAATACATCAGTGTTTTTAATTCTTGGCTTCCATTATGATATATTATATCAGCTATTACTTAACGTTAATATACTGTTAATTCAAAATGCAGAGCCCGAGGATAGATTACCAACTAAGCAAAGCAGGTGACTACCCTCAGGGTTTTTCCTCATCCAAATTGTGGGTCTAAGGATGGATCATGTATGCTGTACAGATTGTGAAGCACCTTGAGGCAGATTTGTGATATTGGGCTATATAAATAAAATTGACTACTAATTTAACTGGAGATTTGTTTTGGAGTATGCACAAACTAAGTATGATAAATGAAATTACAAGGGCCTTAATGTGAGTCTTACTTTATTACCTAATCTTGACAGGACCTCACTGGGTTGAAATCTAATTTTAAGACCATAATTATTTGTTTTATCCATGTTGCTAATTCCTAAATGAATGTGTTAAATCTGATTACCACACATCAATCCTCTAGCCAAGATAGTATGCTATAATGGCTGAATATAGGACCATATTTTTTCTGGATATTCCATTTTAAAAAGTTAGGGTTGTATTATATTCGACTTTTACGTTTTCACAACAGCAGACATTGTTTTTGAATGGAACGAGTTCTGGCCCCTGCATTGCAAAGCAAGCCTGTTGCATTAAGCAGGAGTTACTTTGGACTCAATCCCTCCTCCATCCACAGCCAAACAGAACAGGATAAACAGGATGAACAGGTTTACAGCTTTAAGTACCTAGACTCATTATAGATAATAAACTCAGTTTTGACCAACACACCACTGCTATCCATGAACGATGCCAGCAAAGACTCCATGTCATCTGGGAACTCATAGCACTGTCAGAGCCTCGTGTTGTTACTCTACAAAAACATAATCTTGTTGTACCGTGTCCCCTGCTTCTTCACCATGCTGACCATCATTAGCCTTACTCTTACCTAACCGCTTAGACACCAACAACAGAGCCTCAGATACAGGACTTAACAGTGGAGGAGGGCCCGCATTGTCCCTTCTGTCAATGCAGCCCTTAATAAAATACATGAATTCTACATACGCATGCACAGACGCAGTACAGGGTAACTTGACCCAGCGGCTTTAATTTCAATTTTAATAATCTTTATAATCTTTAGAATGTAGGGGCATAAACATACAGTACACCCACTGTATCCATTATGTGCATTTGTATGATTTTCTTGTGAGACATGAGCATGTGCAGATTGTAAAAACAAATTTCCTTCCAGAGAATCTCCAGGTAATCATTTCGTCATAGGGTATTGTTGTTGAGTACCTCTCCATTGTGGAATGCAAGTGGATTGTTTCTTGAGATGTAACAGATTGTAGGTCATGAACATAGACTGTATGATTAAAAATGGACGTAGTCTCCATGGCGTCACCCATTGGTTTGTGAAGAGCTGTTGTGAAGCTGCAGTTGTGAAGGGCACTTCACAAACGGTTTTGTTGTTGTTGGAAGTCCTGACTCCACAAGCTTCCGGCTAATACAAAAATGGGCAAATACATGGAGCGTGTGTGGCGCTGAGGCAGGCTGAATGAAGCCTGATTACAGAAAACAGCCACCTGTGACAGCACCCGCCTGTCACTCAAAGCAGCCATGCCCTTAATTATAAATTAACCTTAAGCCTTAATATAATTTAAACGGGCAAGGAAGTTAGGGCTATAGAGACCAAAAACGTTTTCTACCATTTTAATATGGGGCCTTATGGAGATTGAGCACTTCTGTAGCCAGCCTCAAGTGGCCATTCGAGGGAACTACAGTGGTTGTTACTTCTGTGTTGGCTTCATTTGCCAGCCATGGAGGTTTGTGGTTGGTTGTAGCTAAGGGGTGGAAGCAGCTGATGATTCACTCTATTATCCAGGGATATGATGGGCTGTTTATGAGCCAGAGCATAGTTATGTGCTTTCATGGCAGTTTGCATAATGCATTTGAGTGAAACTATCAATATCAAACAATTTTATTATTATCTATTTATGAAGTGTCTACTGCCCATATTTACTGCTATTGTTTTATTGCCCAGGTCTACTCAAGAAGTTTAATCCACTCATGATAAAACCCTTATAGAAAGTGGGAATAATGTTGTATGAGGGATAAAGTTCTAGTATCTGTCATCTTGGCTTACAAGTAAGGGCAGTCATTGTGCTGCTGTATGGTACTTAACTCACTGTAATATGCTGTAATGGTGAGTTCACTACTGTAGTGACTGTATCTACTGCATCACTGTATCATTACCATAAAGTGGTATTTTCTGCTAGTAAGCAATACAGCACCACAGTATTGAATGTAGTCCAAGTGACAGGGTGGGTTTGTCACACATGATGGTAAAGTGAGGCAGAGGGAAGGAGGGCTGATGACACAGAGCTGGCACAGTGAGAGAGGCGCACATTGTACTTTGTGCTGGAGAAAAGGAGGCGCGCTGCTCCTCTCCATTACATTTCACTTTCCAAACATTGACGGGAAAACAATATAAAGCCAGGATGTAAAATCCAGTCAGAAGACGTCCGCAAATCCCGCTACAGACCAGTTTTTCCCCCCTCAGTCTCCGAGTGGTTCCATAGTCTGGTTAATTCTGCTCCATCCAGCCGCGTTTTGTGCGCTCTGCTTGGTGAAGGAGTCAGTCGACTGACCGACGGGGAGGAGGAGAGGAACCGCTCGCTGCTTCATCCCGCTGGATGGATCGGAGCTCTTCTCTTCTCACTTGTATCTGAGAACTCGGTCTTTACGGAAACTCTCTGTTTGAAAGAGTTGGGATTTTGTTCCCCACCCTCCATTTTTATCGGTGAGTGTGTTAATTATGTTTGCTTTTTATACCTGATCCATTTTACGCACATGATGCGTTTTAAAATTACCATCATGTTAGGTGAACAAATGCTTTTCGTGTTAGTCAACTAAACGTGCATGGAAGAAAGTATTTCCAGTGTACAAAACGTACGCAATGTTAATGTAAATGTATTTTAAAATAGGCTGTGTGTATGTACAACATATTAACTGACTCACCTGATCAGTCAATTTGTCAGAAATTATCAAATATAGGTTCTGAAACAGTTTCAGGTCATTAGTTTTTAAATTTTAAATTAAACTACCGAAAAATTGTGTAATAATATTCCCACGTAAATTAATCTGTAGCAGTTGTCTCCTTATTCCGATTCAACAGGTTTGTTTCAGTGCCTGACAGTCAGCGCTACTCCCTGTCAGTCAGTTAATGATGCTGCTCAGGACAAATGGGTTTGTGGTTATAGTTGTGTTTTAGCTAAGGCTGCTGATGTTGTTGATTTAATTAAATTATTACATTAAATTTGCAAGTGTAGCAAATGTGGGTTCAGGTCCAAAACAGAAATAATTTAGTTAACAAATGCAGCTCAATAAAATTGGTATCAGTCAGTGTATGCAAACTGCGGAAATTAGTGGATATCATGGAGTGTATATTTCATATAAACTTCATGTTGATTTTGTAGTATGTTAAAACCTGAACAGAACAGAACTGATCGAAGACTAGACTTCACTTGTGGTTTAGTTGTTGCTATATATACCAGCTCTTTTCCTGAAATTGGATGACATTTTGGGCACGTTCTGCTGGATTTGGACTTAAGCAGGGGAGAAAGGCTGGAAATTTAATAGAGATCTCATTTGGAACTCAAAATGTCACAAGCTTCATGCTGCTCCGTTTGGTGCCATGATGGCAAACTTTGATATTTTGATTGATAGTCGTGTATGCTGCTGTTTTCAGCTTTATGTTTCCTCTTTCTTTGTTGCCATTTATACCTCAGATGTCAGTTGGTTTTGGGGAAAGTCGATTCTGAAGGTGAGGAGGACTACATTAAAGACTCTGCTTGACAATGGCGACAGGAGTAGCAGCGTGGCTCCCTTTTGCCCGGGCAGCAGCCATTGGCTGGATGCCAGTTGCCAACTGCCCCATGCCTGTTGCACCAAGAGACAACAGTAAGAGACAGGACGAGCTGATTATCCTCAATGTCAGCGGCCGTCGTTTTCAGACCTGGAGAACCACTCTGGACCGATACCCTGATACCCTGCTGGGCAGCTCTGAGAAAGACTTCTTTTACAATGAGGAAAGCAAGGAGTACTTCTTTGACCGGGACCCTGATGCCTTCAGGAGCATCCTCAACTTCTACCGGACAGGGAAGCTCCACTACCCACGCCACGAGTGCATCTCAGCCTACGATGAGGAGTTGACCTTCTTCGGCATCATTCCTGAGATCATCGGTGACTGCTGCTACGAAGAGTACAAGGACAGAAAGAGGGAGAATTTAGAGCGGCTGCAGGATGATCAGGAGGAGAACAAGGACCAGAAGCTGCCCCACATGAACTTCAGGGAGACCATGTGGCGGGCCTTTGAGAACCCCCACACCTCCACCATGGCCCTGGTCTTTTACTATGTCACTGGTTTCTTCATTGCCATCTCAGTCATCACTAATGTGGTGGAAACAGTCCCCTGCGGTACCACTGCCAACCAGAAAGACATGCCATGTGGTGAGCGCTACACGGTGGCGTTCTTCTGCATGGACACTGCCTGCGTCATGATATTCACAGTGGAGTACCTGATGCGCCTGTTTGCTGCGCCTAGCCGTTACCGTTTCATGCGCTCAGTGATGAGCATCATTGATGTGGTGGCCATCTTGCCATACTACATTGGCCTGGTGATGACCAACAACGAAGACGTGAGCGGCGCCTTCGTGACACTGCGCGTGTTTCGAGTGTTTCGTATCTTCAAGTTCTCCCGTCACTCGCAGGGCCTGCGTATCCTGGGTTATACACTCAAGAGTTGTGCTTCAGAGCTGGGCTTTCTCCTCTTCTCACTCACCATGGCCATCATCATCTTCGCCACAGTCATGTTCTACGCAGAGAAGGGCTCCAGCTCCACCAAGTTCACCAGCATCCCAGCTTCCTTCTGGTACACTATTGTCACCATGACGACGCTGGGGTGAGTAACAGACATATGCACACACACGTACACAGACACACAGGTAAACACATTCATACACATGTCCACATTGTAAGCATTCTTGAAGTGGTTCACTGCTATGTATTTGTATTTGTTACTGACAGAAACAGTTGTGATGTTAATAGATGCTCTAGATGTATTTTTGTGTATTTCTCAAAAATAAATTGAATAATTTATGAAAACCACTTTGAATTTCAAATGAGCATTAAGACAGCCTGCCCCCATACTTCAATATGCTACAGCTTATTTGATGCTGCCAGTGTGAGTAAGGGTGGGCAGTGTAGCATTTATCTACCAGCACAAACACTGATGGCATTTTGTTTGCTTCACTTAGAGCTCGCCATATAAGGCAGAAGTGATGAATACATACAATACATCTGAGTATTGAAAAGATGCCCAGATGATACACATATTTGTACATGCACTAAAGACTAGAGCTATGTTTAGTGTTCTTGCTTTAGAAATGTTTTTCTCTCTTCAATTTCTGCCTTTTGATCAAATGATACACCACACGAGCCGGACACGTACAACAGGGCTGAACCATTATGATTAAAATGATCCTGAACATACATGATTAATCAGCCAATTCATTACTATCCAATAAACTAATAAATCTTCATAATTTTTCCACCTCTGCACCATTTAGATGACACCACTCCTTACTATCTTGGGATGAAAAGTGGTTCAATGTTTTGTGGGGGAAAAAAAATGTTTTCTGTACTGTATTTCTGCCTTTTCTTCTAATTGGGGCCACACAGGAAGCACCATATTTATGGCCTAAGCATTAAATGTAAAAATGCCTTGTGAGGAATTCATTTAACTGCATTATAAAATCAAATCTATCTGCCGTGTGCCTGGAGGCGAGGTGTCCCATGAGAGATCCTGTGTCACCTTTATTATGATTCCACTCTGCTCTTAATCTTTCACACAAGCTGAGATTCAGTGCCATGAATGGCAGGGTGAACTTGAAAGTGTTCCCGAAGTTTGGCAGAAGTACTCTATTATGAAGGCACAGTGGAAGAATAGTTATGAGTTCCTAAAAATCAGTTTTTCTTTCCGGCTCTCTTTGTAGATAATGCTGTGTACGCAAATGCAAAACTGCTATTTGGAATAAAATGGCAAAACAGAAAAAAAAAATTGGTTGGTCGACTAATTCAAATAAGTCAGATGCATGTATTTCTGAAGATAAAGGATAGGCTCCCATTATTTAAGTCTGTCCACATGCTCATATATACATTAACAGCATTATTCGTCAGTATAATTCTTCTTCCTGTTCATAGTGGCTTTGAAGAGATTCCTCCCTGACACAGCCACTGTGGATAATAGGAATGATTATAACAACAATAACTCCATGTACATTAGTTATTGTCCTATCACACATTGGTATCGGAACATGTCATCTGATATGCGTCAATATGAAATTATATGACTGTCCTTACTAACAATAATAAAGAACATTTCACTTAAAATTTATTTAATTAAGTTATTTGTTTAAGAAAGCAGCCTTCTGAGTACGTTTGCATAGTCGTTTCATTTTCATTCCAGCTCAAAAATTCACCATATGAAGATTTTCATGAAATCTTGCCTTTGTTATTGATACTATTTAGGGTCGTAATTTTCTCTGCAATAACCATTTAATACCATTTACATTCTGCAATTACCCTTTCCATATGATACTTTTCATTGTTCATAGTCCACCATTCTCATCCTGGATTTAAATTGCAGACCAGGACTGAAATCTTAAGTATTATAACCAGTGTTGTAGTGGTCCCTGGAAAATCAGTCGGTGTCTGTGCTCACAAGGCCGATAAACAGAAAATGTCACTCCCCCTTTTGAGTTTTGGGAAGGTGGTGAAAAAGTTGGTTTTGAGCCCTGTACTATAGCTCTCATGCATCCTGCAGTAAAATATGCCTTTTTCTGTTTTGATATTGGCATTATATATTTCCGTCGGCTAGTTTGCTCTTTTGGCCATTGAAAAACTCATATAACTACTGGGCCTGAATTTTTACACCACTGATTATAACTTTAGGAAAGACTTGGAAATGTGAACCTATCCATTAACTATTTATGAGGGATCTACATTGCCCAAGAAATTGTCAGGACCACAGACTGAGAGCTTTAAAACCTGTTCATATTGTGTCAAAAGTATTTTCAGCTGTGTTCATTATTGAGAATGATCTACTCAGAGACTGAGAATACTGGACAGGAGAACATGTGGGCTGTCATGCTGCACCTAATTTGTCCCTTAACAAGATACCTAATGATGTGATCTTGTTGCGTTTTTATTTTTTATTTTTTCAAAATATGTTTAGTTGCCCTGTTGAGGAGTGAAATTACAGTTATTATTTAAGAATTGTGAAATGTGGAGAATATTTATTCTTCAGGTTATGGTCAGTGTGGTCAAGATTTGTCTTTCATCAAATAAAGAAATCGAAACTAAATGAAAAGTCAAGCTTGGATGATACATTAGCCTCTTTACTGAGTAGTAGCTGAAAATACTGCCTGACTTAACCTGTGCTACAGTATTTGTGTGTGTGTTTGTGTGTGTGTGTAGCACAAGAGGGTCTTTTGTACCATACATAAAAAGGATAGAAATGCCAAGGTGAAAGCATTATGTAAATTGTGAACCCTGAACAATGAGTTTGAGTGTGGAGCCATTATGTTCAACACACAATAGGCAGCAGCATTGAGCGTTTATCTGCAGCTTTGACAATAGTGATCCTCATCGCTAACCAAGGACAGTCATTTGCAATCAGGAAAACTATCATCTGATGCATGTTCAAGGCAATCATTTTGGTGATCGAATGCAGCATGTTTTTTCTATACAGTCACATGTGTACCTTTAAGGTTTTTTTTAGAAATGGCTGATTTTTCTGTACCAGATAAAATATGTAAAATCCAAAACCAAAGCTAAGACAATAAAGACTGATTTTATGTTTATTTTGTAGTTAAGTAAGTGGAACGCTTGATTTCTTACTGCAAGAATTCAAAATAATGGTGATTTTAAACACAACACAAAATGCAGGGATTTTATTTTTGACACCGTTTAAATAAGAAGGTAAACATAAATCTGTTCTCCACAGTATTCAGCTAACCCCTAACCCTAACCCTAACCCAGCACCCCCACCAATACACTTTGATTAAATATGCTACAAAAAAAAAAGAAGAAAAACAGGTACAGGTACTGGTGGTGCTAGTACAGTATGTCCCCCACCGACCTCCTCTAGTTTTGTTAATGTGCTGTAAGAGAGGCTAATCTGTGCACAATTACAACTGGAAGAGAACGGTCAGCTGCCTTTCATGAGGCTCAGCGTTCCCTCCTGCCTGTTGCCTGTCGATTGGTTCACCTGCTGAACGGACATATGCCTCGGTGATGAGGTCACCAATAATCCATCTGTCAATGCACATAAAAAGCCACAGGGAAAAAATCTCAAAACGACAGTACATTAGGTAAGGTCAAACAAATTACTTGTGCTTTTTCCCAATTTCTGGACTAGTTCTACTCTAATTGAGCTTTTCTGGCCATTTTCTCAAAGTGGTCTCTTTTATTCAACAGCACCAATCTGTGTGTGTATGATTGCCTGTGTATATATGTGTGTGTAGATATGTATATATGTGTATGTGTGCGTGTGTATATACACCGATCAGGCGTAACATTATGACCACCTGGGCACCCTGGTCGTCATAATGTTATGCAGCCTCATAACAAACTGTGATGCACTGTGTGTTCTGACGCCTTTCTA